GAGAACCAGTGTTGACAGGGCCAATTCAATCAGGGTGGATGTAGTCAACTCCCAATAATAGATGAGGAAGAGTCAATTCCAGGAGAGAAAAACTTCCTTCTGTGTTGACCCAGCCACTCCCAGTCCCTATTCAAGCCCAGATTAATGGTGTTAAATTTGCAAATGAATTTTAGTTCTGCTGTTTCTCTTTGAAGTCTGTTTCTGACATTTTCTTTTTTTTTTGTTCAATGATAGTGACTCTTAAATCCGTAATAGAATGACCAGGGAGATTGAAGTGTTCACTTACTGGCTTATGTATGTTACCATTCCTGATGTCCGATTTGTGTCCATTTATTCTTTTGCGGAGGGACTGTCCGGTTTGGCCAATGTACATGGCAGAGGGGCATTGCTTGCACATGGTGGCATATATAATATTAGTGAATGTGCAGGTGAATGAGCCCTTGATGGTGTGGCTGATGTGGTTGGGCCCTCTGATGGTGTCGCCAGAGTAGATATGGGGACAGAGTAGGCAACGAGGTTTGCTACAGGGATTGGTTCCTGGGTTGGTGTTTCTGTGGTGTGGTGTGTAGTTGCTGGTGAGTATTTGCTTCAGGTTGGGGGGTTGTCTGTAAGCGAGGACTGGCCTGCCTCCCAAGGTCTGTGAGAGTGAGGGATCATTTTCCAGGATAGGTTGTAGATCGTGGATAATGCGCTGGAGAGGTTTTAGCTGGGGGATGTATGTGATGGCCAGTTTCCACAGTGAGGCATCTCTGAGCTTACATTGTATGTAGATAAACACCTGTCAAGGATGGTCTAGATAATACTTAGTCCTGCCATGAGTGCAGGGGACTGGACTAGATGACCTCTCGAGGTCCCTGCCAGTCCCATGATTCTATGAATCCATCAGCTATTTGTGTCCAGTCTATTCAGATCCCAGAGCGTGATTTCAAATCACGCAAAAAGCTAGGACTATTAAAATTCCAGCCCAACCATTTTATTGTTGCTCTTCATTTCAGTGAAATCATTTTGGAATGGACCTTACCCAGGGGTCACAGAAGAGAGGGTACAGGATTGAGGGGACTGGGCGGAGCGCCAAATGGGTAGTCAATTTCGCTCCCGTGTTTTAGTCCTTTTCATGGTTTCAGGGTCTCATGCCCTAGCACAAGGCTGCAGTGTTTGGGTTGCAAACACAGCAGGAAAAGGCTGATTTCTTTAAAACAAAATCCAATGGATCCTACTAGAATTTAAACAGATACAATTGCGGGAATCTGTCTTTTCCTAAAAGTGTGGGGGTGATGCCACCACGGCTTTGTTTTTACAAATTCCAGATTCAGAGCCAAATTCCACCCTTCGATTAAAAATAAGACCCAGCCTTCTCCTGGCCCAGAACCTGCCATTGCACAGGCTGACCCTGTGCCGGCCAAAACGGGACCTGTAATTCCCCAATGACACAGCTGGTAGCAACAGTGGAAGCTGCAGTCGTGTAGACAGGACTGTTTTTAGGACTGTCATCCAATCCAACAGTAGAACTTCACTGGTTAAGAATTGCAGCTTCTCATTTTGGTCTGAGTAGTCAAGGCGACAGTAATATAAACAGAGCCACTTTGGATTCACTGTCACTCCTCCACAGCAGCAGCCATGGATTTACGGATAACGTGCCATGGATTTACCAAAACGAACTCTGGATTTGGGCAGGAAAGGACCATAAAGGTGCACAACTGACTGCAGCCGTAGCAGAAAGCTCTCTGGCTTTAAAGAGCCACCTATCAACTTTCACTCCAGCCAGCACAGCACTCACAAAACTTCCAATTGCTAACTCTTTAAGAACACACTCATAGCCTGGGTTGTTTTTTCTCCCAGCTGTGCTCCTTACCTTTGCAATGCTTCCCGTCCCCGGAGTATCCGGACTTGCAGATGCACTTGTAGGATTTGGGGGTGTTCTGGCAGAGGGCGTCAATGTGGCAGTTGTCAGTCCCCTCGACGCATTCGTCAACATCTGTGGAAGAGGAAGAAAGCAAGTGACGTCACGAATCTCTGCACTGCCTGGAGATGTGCTAAAAACACCCCACCTGTCAATACTGCGCCCGCTGCTGCTGCTGCTCTGCAGGTGAAATATCAGCCTGAGAGACTGAAATTCTCGGTGTAGCCACTGATTGGCTGCAGCATGGGCAGCAGCAAGGCAGGCTCGCCACACGCACTGACTGCACCCAATCAATGGGCCTCAGCCGAGCCACGGAGGGAACCCCGCCAGGGGCGAGCCATCAGTCTCCAGGCCTCCTCCAGCCCTTGGCCTCTGCTGAGACTGCCAACGACTGGCCTGACGCAGCCGGCGCTCAGAGCAGTGGAAAGACTCCCGGTGACTTCACCAGGAACTGGATCAGGATCAGTACAAACAAGTTCAACCATGAGCTGTTGGGCTTGGTGCGGGAATCCCCACACAGTCAGAGAGCGCCGCTCCCTCCCCAGCCAGCCTTCTCCCCGGCACAGCCAGAGAGCACCAAGCCCCCACAATGACTAGTGACTAAACTCCTCTGGTCTCCAGAAGCGGGTTCTCAGCCCTGCTGGAGACATTCCACTCTGCCTAGGTCTCTAGCCGGCCCCCCTCTCAGCAATGGAGTTTATCCTCACAACCCCTGTGTGAGGCAGGGCTGGGCCATGATCCCCACTGCACAGATGAGGCACAGAGCGACTCGGTGACTGGCCCAAGGTCGGACGGTGGCTGAACCAAGAACGGAACCTAGGTCTCCTGTATCCCAGCCTGTGACTTAACCCGTAGCCCATCCTCCTGACTCCTTGCTCCAGAGTGGAGAGCTCCTTCTCCTCTTCTCTCCCCTCAGGTCTCCTCTTGCCAGTCTCCCCCTTCTTCTTCCCCCCCCAGCCCCCCACTCTTTCTTTCTCCTTCGCCCACCAACCTGGTCCCCCTTCCCAGCTCCCCCTGCTTAACCTCACTCTCTTCTTCCCTCCCTTTCTCTCCATCCGTCTGCTTCACACGGCCCTCCTCGCCCTGCCTCACTCCCTTTTCGCTCACTGTCTAGAAGGTGCCCACCAGCCCTGTTGCAATTCAGCAGCAGCAGCTCCGCTGGCAGGCGATGTACCGATGGCAGGGGATAAGCACCAGGTAGGAGGTGGAGGAAAGACCTGGCTTCCCTACCACCCCGCACGCCCCGGCTCCAGGAGGACGCAGTCTGCTGGCTGCAAAGGTTTAACACAGCAGGAGGCAGAGTTATTGGAGGTTTTAATGACAGTGGCCATTTATAAACAGACAGCCCCTGACTGTGGTTTATGAGTAATGGGCTATTCACCTGGTTCCCTTCTGGCTTTTCACTATGTGGTCCCTAAGGGTATGTCTACACTGCAATTAAACACCCGTCGCTGGCCCATGTCAGGGCCTGTAAAACTGCCGTGTAGACATTCGGGCTCGGGCTGGTGCCCAGGCTCTGGACCCTGCGAGGTGGGAGGGTGTTTTACGGCAGTGTAGACATACCCTAAGTGAATAAGAGAGTCCTCATGTGCCGCAGCAGGCACGAACATGTCTACGGCTCACATCTCATTCGTTCAGCTAGAGGGCCACCATTGCCACTCCCGAGGGGGTAATTAGCTCGACTGGTTGACTTTTCAGCCCAAGCCAGGGACTGACAGGTACAGGCCCCACCCCCAATGCTGAAAGCTGGCTGATGAGCTATTGTGGGGTCTTATTCTGGTTTTGCTTCCTTCCCAGGCTAGCTTTCACCCCTGGTTCTCACAAGAGCGAAGGGCACAGAAGCTATGCTGATGAGCAGAATAATGCAGGCGTTTAAAAGGATTGTGATGATGACACAGTCCCTAAAAGGAGAGAGAGTCAGTAGCTGCAGCTCTCTCTCTACCGCCAGGTATTGTACAGATGGCTTCGCATGAGCTAGAGGAATGGTGGGCTGGTTGGGTTAAGGCACGGGACTGAGGCTCAGGAGAGCTCTGTTCGATTCCTGTCTCTGCTACAGACTACCTTTGTGACCCTGGGCAAGTCACTTGACCTCTCTGTGCCTCAGTGTCCCATCTGTACCATGGGGATCATAGTAAGGGTGTTGTCTGGGTAGGTCCATTAAAACTTGTGAGGCTCAGACACTACAGTAGGGTGACCAGACAGCAAGTGTGAAAAATCGGGACAGGTGGTGGAGGATAATAGGATCCTATATAAGAAAAACACCCCAAAATCGGGACTGTCCCTATGAAATCGGGACATTTGGTCACCCTACACTACAGCAATGGGGGCTGTATAAGACATAGGAGAGGCGGGTAATAAAATAGGTCTTGACCCACAGCAGGACTGTTCCCTGCAATACACCATCTAGCACACAGGCTCTCAGTTTGGGGGTCGTGACTATTCGGTCCTTCCCAAACAGCTAATCTCAATGGAAAGAGATTGAAACCCACAGATCCCACAGTCTCACTCAGAAAGCCCAAAGTGGCCGGGATGCCGCAGTCTTCTCTTGGAAGACTATTCCACTGGCCTGGTAGATCTTTGCTCTCAGGAGATCTGGTGAGCAGACTCCCAAGTGGGGGAAACCGCCATTCGAAGCGTGAACGTGACCAATGGGAGTTATCCCAAGGAGGGAGTCCCACATCGAGCAGGAGATAACCCCAGTTACTCTCTCTCACCCTGCCTCTTATTCTCACACTGGCAGGAAGATCACAGGAGCTGTTATTGGGAGGTTTTCACTTGCAAGGCAGAGGGGGCACATTCATGTGTATTGTATAAATATTTACACAATGCATTCAGATTTATTATCCTACATTAACCATGGCCGGGAGCCACTACTGCAACCCCCGGATCATTAATCACCCATTAGAACCTCACCCAAACCACTGGAGACAACAGAAGATTTACAGTCTGGGGTGGGGAAATCGGATCCAACTTTCTGCCGGAAGAGGCACCTCCAGACAGGGTGGAAGAGAGCACGATGCAACGGTTCCATGTCGCCATCGTGGGACTTGATTGCCTTCTTAGACTCAGGGCAGGTCTAGGCTACCGCTTGAGTCGATCTAACTTACGTCGCTCAGGGATGTGAAAAAGACACACCTCCCCCGACCTATGTAAGTTACAGCGATCTAAGCGCTGTCCGCACTGGTGCTGTATCGCCGAGAGATGCTCTCTCACGGAGGCGGAGTAATCACACCAATGGGAGAGCGCTCTCCCGTCAGCACAGAGCGTCTTCACCAGTCGCGGTGCAGCTGCCTCGGTGCTGGAGCGCTTCTAGTGTAGACCTGCCCTCAGGCTCTACTTGCTCTGATCAAATTCACCAGGGAGCCCTCTGCTCAACCCCCTCTAGGGCTCGAGGTTAATACAGCCACTCAGTGCACAGAGCGCTCGCGAGGAGAGAAATCAGATTCTTTGTGCCAAAGCTTTTCCGGCTAGTAGCGACCCCTGTCAGACCCGAGCGGTTACCTCATAACTCAGCAACATGGAGACAGCCACATTTTGAGGCGTAACTCGTCTGAGCACATTTGGCCTCGCTGATAGCTCGCACTGGCTGGGCACAAAGAAGGGGCCGGTCCCCACTGTTAAAGCTGTCGGTAGTGAGACGTCCCCAGCTGCAGACTTCCCCTCTGCTCCCTGTTGTCCATCCCCCCACCACCCGCTGCCACGCGCACTTCACCGATCTGCTGCAATAAAGAGCCGGTGTGCAATGAAAACTGCCCAGCTTCCCCAGGGATGCTTTCTGGTCACCTCCCTTCCTTTCTGAAGCTGGGATCAAGGCTGTCACCGGCCCCATCTCCCTGCATCCTTCCTCTCATTGCCTTTCCACCCTGGTCTCTGCCCTGCTGCCCATCCCTATTCGCTTACCCTTCTGGGAAGGGGAGCCCTTGCTAGTCCAAACCTTCCACATTCCTGGGATTTCCCACCCCCATATTCCTATGAAACTGTGTAGTTCCAACAGGGCAGCTGCGGCCGCAGACTCTCCAACAACAGGTGAAGATGAAAGGGCTTCCACAGAGCCAAAGACAACGCTGTAGCTTAGAACTAGCATCTACTCCACCGCAGGGAACCCCTCGGACACAGGGGTCTTAGACACAGATGGAAGGGAAGGAGGGTCAGATTCTTTTTCCAGTCACTCTGGTGTAATTCCAGGGCAATTCCACTGATTTAAATGTCATTACTCCTGATTTACATGAACGTAGCTGAGTTCGGGATTTGGCCCAAAGTTCCTTACAGTTCTACGGGAGAAAGGGGGAAGGTCATTTCCTCCCAAGCAGAGCCAGGCATTTTATTGTGGAAATACACCCCCCTCACCCTGCCCCCAAGGGCGCACGCACCCAAGACACGGGCACCACTTTTAAAATTAAAAACGTCTGCAAATAAAAACAAGATGGAAAAACCTGCAAAAGCCCACAAAAGTGTCAAGTTCATCCTTCCCCGAGTCATATTTCCCAGCTCCCGGGAACAGAGCCGAGACTTCCACACAGGATCACACAGAGAACTCCACGACCACATTTCCTAAAGGAGACTAGGGGCTCAGAGAGCTCGCCATGGAACGGGAGCGGTTCCAACCCCTCAGGTATACAGAGCCAGGAACCCGTGGCTCAAGCTGCGGTGAAGGGATCCCAAGTTAAAGGCTAATGGTCGCTGCAGGACACGCAGAGTCCCCCTAACCTTTTCCTTCCGCTTCAATGCTCTTGCTGCTGTCCACACTGATCCGCAGACCTGACATGCCTCCCCTGGGGAGACACAGGACGCCGGAGTCTTATGCAAAGGCCAGAGATGCCCCTTAGTACAGACAAGGGCGTCTTGTGCCCCAGCAAACCGCCACTGGCACAGGTTGCAAACACTCTCTCAGCCGGTACCACAGAGTTGGGGACCTGCGTAGTGCCTGCTACGAGGGAGAAGGGGAGGATTCACAAGGCTGCAGCTAAAACACTTTTCACTCAAAGAGCCATTCAGTGCAGGAGGAAGCACTGGAATTACCATAACTCACCATTTGGCATCGTGTCCAGCTGCAATTAGACTTTCAAAGGAATATTCAACTCTATGTAACCTTTTT